TATGGATGGAGTCACATATACCATCTTTCAACATAATTGTCTGACATGGGAAACAACAATAAAACTAATATATATATAAATATGTAAACATTACCTTGAACAGAGAAAAAAAGGGCAAAAAGAAGATGGGCGACTGCTGCTGCTGAAGTCATTGCTGCTCCTCTTGCCTCTCTGTCTGTTATGACAGTAACACTCCAGCAGATGAGTAAAGTGCATGAGAATAAAACAGTCACATAATAACAGGAACAGAGGCTGCTGTGCTCATGAAAAGCATAATTTGCTTTTTAACAACCGTACAACAGCTTATAAAAGCAGCTTCCCTAACGTCCTTCCTTTTCAAAATAGTCATACACAGTTCTCTCTTTTTCAAGCAAGAATGTCTGCTGTGTGATCCAGGGCAGCAGCGCTTTTTTGCTTTTCCAAATTTAAAGGTTAGTTACAAAGAGAAGGAAGAAAGAAACAACATCAAAAACTTACTGTGGTCAAGTCTGAGTTAACTGACAAACTCATCAGCCACATATTCCTTGTTGTAATAGACTGTGACCTCTAAATAAAAACAGCTTTTAAGTTAAACTTTATTCACTGGCTTGCTTTTACTCAAACGTTTAAAATGTCATATCCCAAACAGGGTTCAGTAACCTTTAAGTGGCACTGCAGAATTCACTGCAGATATTGTTTCTGTCTTTATTTTTTGTTTTTAATATTGACCATAAAAGGTTTTAGATGGGAGAATTTTTTTTAATTCAAAATAAATTATTGATTTAAAAAAATAAATACATATTTTTATTTTATTTTATTATTATTATTTTTAATAAAAACAATTTAAGGCCCTTTAAGGCCAAAGGCCTGGGAGCTTGTGGGTCCTGTGCATTATCTTAGCTGTTCCTAGGACTGCACTCTTCTGCACAGAAATCTCCAATGTTGTTCCTGGGATTTGCTGGAGCCACTCGCCTAGCTTGGGAGTCGCCGCACCTAGTGCTCCGATTATCACTGGGACCACCGTTACCTTCACCCTCCACATCTTCTTGATATTTCTCTGAGCTCTTGGTATTTCTCCAGCTTCTCATGTTCCTTCTTCCTCATGTTCCTGTCATTTGGTATTGCTACATCTATCAGTATGGCCGTCTTCTCCTGCTTGACCACCACCACACTGTGTCCAGTTGGTTAGCCACCACCATTTATCTCTGGAAGTCCCACATGATCGTTCAGTCATTCTCCACCACCCTAGAAGGGCTGCAGGGAACTGGATTGTCTCAGGGGCATCTTTACACAGCCTGCACCTGGGGTCTTGAGTATTGTGATAGACCCCAGCCTCTATAGATCTTGGGCTCAGAGCTTGTTCCTGTGCTGCCATGATTAGTGCCTCTGTGCTGTCTTTAAGTCCAGCTTTGTCCAGCCACCGGTAGGACATCTGGATGTCAGCCACCTCCACTATCTGCCAGTGGTACATACCGTGTAGGGGCCTGTCCTTCCATGATGGTTCCTCCTCTGCCTTGGGTTTCTGTTGCCTGAAGTATTCACTGAGCACGTGGTTGGTTGGGGCCATTTTCCTGATGTATTCATGGATGTTCATTGCCTCATCCTGGACTGTTTTTAGTGACACTCAATAGTGTCAGTAAAAATTCTTCCTTCTGCTTAGCATGCAGTCTCAGGATGCTGGACTTAGGTTAGGAGCTTCCTTTTTTTTTTTTCATTTCATTTCATTTCATTAAAACTCTTTTGATCCTGAAGGCTGTTAAGGCTGCTGGCACTCCAGAGCCATCTTACCATTACAACTACAAATATATTACACAAACATAACAGGCAGAACAATGGACATACATAATATGAGGAAAGAAGAGCAGAAAAAAGAACTCCCCCCAGACTGAGCTCCTAAAGGGAGATCAGTTTGAGAACAAAAAATAAATAAAACCCACCTCATCACATACACATGATTATCACATTTCACAACATAAAAAGACATAAGCACGTTGGAGGTGTTTGGAAGGGGGAGGGGTGGGATGACTGTATATTGGTGTGTGTGTGCATATGTGTGTCCATATGTGTGTATCCTGTATCCAACTCGTGAAACAGTCTCCTTTTGCCCAGTTAAGCAAAAGTCAGCAATCCCTGGAAGTAGAAGATATAGGGCAGAGAGTCTACACAGTCTTGTAGTCTGGGAGAGTATTTGTCCCAGTTTCAGCCTTCGAGCTTCTGGCTGGTGAAGGAAGGCCAAATGAACTTAGTGATTGATTGATTTATCGATAGAGAGAGTGTCTGTCACTGGTCCCAATTCTAGAACTGTGAGCTTCTCCATGATTTAGTCCATATTGCATTCAACAATCACAGTCTGATTGCTCGTGGCTCTACCCACCGTCAATCATGCCGGGCAGCCTTGTGGGATTTTGAGCAGCTGTAACCGCTTTGTCGATAAGCCAGGGCTGTGCCAGTTCCAATCAGCAGGAACGCTGTTATCAAGGTTCTGAAAAATTTTCTTCAACGTCCTCCATTGAGAGCGTTACTAGGCACGCGAGATGCCACTTGTTCCAGCGAAAGATGGTCGTGTATCTGGCAGCAAACGTTCCTGCAGGACGATCAGGTTCCTCCACACCCAGATTTCTCAGGTGTCAAGAACCGTTTAGAGACCAGTTGATCAAATCCATAATTCCTTGATTTTTAAAGAACAAGGCAAAGAGAGTCTATGACAGTTAGATGAAACTAGACAAAGTCAATACAAGCCAAGCAGGCAGATAAGGGAGGGAGAGGAGACAGGAGAAAATGCAACCATCTCTGCCGTAAACCAAGAGAAGTATGTCAGTCTTGATGCCAGTTGCTCTATCGCTGCCTTTGGCCAGGTTATTATACCAGCAGGTACCTGATCACGGGCAGGGTGTAGGTGTTAACAGCCCAGAATTTTCTTGCCGTTCAGCTGACTCCTCATGACTTGCCTGACGATCTGTAGATACTTGGTAGTTGCAGCTTTCCTAGCGGCCTCTTCATGGTTCCCATTTGTCTGTGGGATCCCCAGGTACTTGCAGCTGTCCTCAGTGTCTGCAATGTTGCCTTCTGGTAGTGCAATCTCCTGGGTTCTAACTACTTTTCCTCTCTTTGTTACCATCTTACTACACTTCTCCAAACCAAACAACATTCTGATGTCATTGCTGTATATCCTGGTATCCTGGCTGTGTGGATCAGGAAATCAATGCCCCATTCACTCTTGGCATAACACTTGATGTCATCCATTTGCAGGAGGCGGCTGATTATTGCTCCATTACGTAGGCGGTATCTGTAGCCATCAGGATCAGAATCAGAATACTTTATTAATCCCGAAGGAAATTAGGGTTACAGCAGGCAGCACGCTAATGGCGCATGCGCACTTACAAAGGAACCTTCTGACCAACTTTACACAAACATCACATTGGGGAGACATGTCAGAAAGGTAGGCTGATAGGAAAAAAACAACGAAAATACATAACACAAGGTAAGAGGAGGAGAAAAAAATCTCCACTCAGACTGAGCTCCTAGTGGGAGAACAGTTTGATGACAGAAAAAACATCTCAGCACAAAAAGCGCATGATTATCAATACACCATAGAAACACATACATATATGTATGTATATATAGGATGTGGAGGGTGAAGGTAACGGTGGTCCCCGTGGTAATCGGCGCACTAGGTGCGGTGACTCCCAAGCTAGGCGAGTGGCTCCAGCAGATCCCGGGAATAACATCGGAGATCTCTGTCCAGAAGAGCGCAGTCCTGGGAACAGCTAAGATACTGCGCAGGACCCTCAAGCTCCCAGGCCTCTGGTAGAGGACCCGAGCTTGAAGGATAAACTGCCCGCAGGGGCGTGCTGGGTGTTCTTTTTTTATAGGGGTATATATATATTAGGGGTGCAACGATACTCGTATCGATATTGAACCGTTCGATACAGTGCTTTTGGTTCGGTACGCATATGTATTGAACAAAACAAAATCTTTAATTTATTTTATCAACTTTTCTTCTGACGATGCTGTCTGTGTTGAGAGCTTAGTGGATCTGCGTTCGACTACTCCGCCTAGGCTGCACTGTCGAGCGCAGATCCACTGAGCGCAGCACAAACTAGCAAGACAGAAGCTAAGCTCGTTGCAACATGGCAAATTGAACCTCCCCCACCCTCATTCAGATCTGGCCTTTGAAACTATTTTGGTTTTCATGTGAAGTATGACCCTGAAGGTAAGCGCGTCATGGACAAAAGTAAAACAGTATGTTGGATGTGCCACGCAATGCTCAATTACATGGATGGGAACTACTGCATTAGCACAGTTTGCTCATTAACGTGTTGGCCGTCCAGCCCCACGCATGGAGCTCGTTAACGGAGATTTGCCGTGCTGTGGCGTTAACGTCATTTTAACAAGATTAACGCTGACAGCACTAGTGGGAACACAACGAATATGACTGCACATTTACGTCGACATCATCCTAGTGCAAAGACAAGTGGAAGCAGACAAAAACAACAAGCACGCATGCTACAAACTTTACCAGAGTCATTTAGACAGCCGTTAGCACATGATTCTCCTTATGGGGACCTGATATGTTTAATATGCTGCTGAGAATATAGCCCAGAAGAAGCGGATAGTATAGCTTTTATTTTGGAAAGAGCCATTTCTCTGTAATAAACTCTCTTTTCCAAAGATGAGTGATTCCTCAATCAGATTTATTTTTTTTATTACTTTGTTGTTTCAGCAACATTAAATTTAAAAACTGTACTTTTGAGTTAAAATATATATTTATAATTTTAATAAATGACAAATTAAAAGAGCATGAACATTTTTTTGTATCAAAAAAATACCAAACCGTGACACCAAAGTATCGAACCGAACCGAACCGTGAATTTTGTGTATTGTTGCACCCCTAATATATATCTATATATCTATATATCTATATATCTATATATCTATATGCTCTGATATGATTTCATTCTAAATTTGCTCACTACTGTTTGAGCCTGACGTGCTCTCCGTGAGGTTTAATTATTGTCACATTTGTGTTAAAATATTGTGTTTACATATACATATATATTTTTCTCAACTGTGCAGGACAGTTGAGTTTGGCTTTTTATTCTTGTCTGCGGTCTATTAGTTGCAAGACTGACACACTTTGTAGAGTTATATTGGAATGTGAGAAAGGGAATGGAATGTCAATGAGGAGAGATGGTTAGGATGAACTGAACACTATTTATTCATGAACTGAATTCCTTCAAGCAATCTGGTGACTGGACTCTGATGGCCGGTCAAGGCTGAACAGATTCCCAGCGGTGACAGGAATTAGGCAGGACCCTCCAGAGTCTAGAGGCTGGTGGTGGTGATGAAGATGCAGGCTTGACTGGAGCTCTGAGTAACATGGGAGAGGCAGAGATGGGGCGGAGGTGGGTTGCACGAAGGAGTCTGCAAGGGAGAATGACAGATTAGCAGTGAGATTTTAAGAAACGTGGAGTGGATGGTAATTGCCTTGAAGAAAGCAACCAGAGAGATACTTTGACTAGACCTGTGATGTCAGCAATGAGCTTGACAGTGTGGGAAAGTGGAAGGAATGAAAAATGGAAACTAACAACCAAGCACTCTGGAAGCGGACAGATATGTGTTTACAGATGTCATCTAAGCTTATTTTACCATAAGTTCTATTTTACGTCTTAGAACTTAAAAGCTATTCCACACAAGGTTTTCCAGAAAGCTTCCGGAAACGTTTTACAGAAAGTGAAGCAGCAGCATTTACTTTAAAGCAAGTAATATTTCCTGTCACCTGTTCACTGGTATCCAGTTCCTCTCTAGGCTCAGGCTGCTGCTGCTTTGAGTATCTGTTTTTTCTAGTTGGGATAATGATTAAATGAAAGTGTTAAAGAAATTACAAACTTAGCGAAATGACAATACAATAAATGGCACATAAGTTCCACTCACATGATCCATAGGATGACCGAGTATAAGAGTATAAGACCCAGAAGAATAGCAGGGACTATGACAGCTGTTAATTTCCATGCTCCTAAAAAAGTGATCAAGTGAATTAGGGTGGCACTTTTAAATCCTAATAACTAAGCCTTAACTAAAATGAACCATAACCAAACTCAACCAAATGAATAGAACACACAACTACAGGATCAGATATGAGACAAATCAGATTTAACTTACTTGATACAACAGTCAGCTGTAAGGTGGAGTAATGATGCCCTCTGGTGTTCTGTGCAACACAGTAATAACTCCCACTGTGTTCAGGTCTGAAGTCAGTGATGGTAAAATTCTGTCCAGAAGTTTTAGGTGACTCTTCATCCTCCTTGTACCAGGTGTAATTAGCTGCTGGGTTAGCATCACTGCTACAGGTCAGAGTGACTGAACTGCCCTCCACTATCTCAGCAGAGGGACTCACTGACACAGAGGGAAGCTTTGGAGCATCTGGAGGAGAACACAGAGCGGACCTGTACTTTTAACAATACAGTTTCAACTCACTTTTTCCACACACAATGCATGACAATAATATTGGGAGCTGATTGTGATTGTTAAGTAAACAGGAAAGCTGATGTTGTTCAGGTCATTAGTTCTGTTTCGCTTTGTCTTTCTAATTTTTTTGTAAGCTGTACAAAGTTGCCTCTTGCTTCAGTAACTGCTGTTATGAACTTTACTCATATATTAAAATATATTATTTTAAAATATGAATATTAAAATATTAAAATTACGAGAAAGTGTTACACTCCGTCCTTTGCACTAAGTGGTCACAAAAGCTTTATTTTATTAAGAATTTCTTCCCTGGAAGGCTGTATTTTGCTACCTGTTTGTCTACCTGTCTTGATTTATCAGTATGTAAATCACCAATTCCATCTGACTTTTTCATATTATAAAATAACTAAAATTACATTAAAATAGAATCACTTTTAAAATGAATTCAGTAATTTGACATCATTTTATTGCTTACTCCCATGATATGTTGCTCACACAGAAACTCCCTTTTGATCATGTAGTGGAGTAAGCAACAAAGCTGATGGAAGACCAAGTAAAGCAAATGTTAACATAATTTAAAGCACCAAGTGAAGGTTTTCTACCCTGTTTTCTAAATCTGGGACTCTCCAACATTTTGACCTTAGAATTGAAGAAGCCTCTTGGATGAGGGGTGAAACGTCTTCAAGCAACTTAAAGAAGTCCAGATGCTTTTCTTTCCAAGCTCCTTAGACTACGATGACCTGGATCACTGAGAACCTTCACAGAAATAAGCCTGTTTCACTCACATGTCACATTAATGGAGATGTTGTATGTTGGTGATGAGACCCCCAGCTTGTTCTCAGCTGTACAGTGATATTCCCCAGAGTCAGAGGACTGGATGGAGCTGAAGATGAGCTGTGGTTCTTTAATGAGAGGGGTTTGATTGTTTGTCTTATACCAGGTGTAATTAGCTGCTGGGTTAGCATCACTGCTGCAGGTCAAATTCACTGAACTGCCCTCCACTATCTCACCAGAGGGACTCACTGACATAGAGAGAGGCCTTGGAGCATCTGGTAGAGAAAGAACATAGATTATATGCATGTTATTAGTTTCTGCAAAGGTTTATTATTGATTATTGATCAAATCAAACAAATCTGTGAACCTAATGGTTACACTAGTGTACACTAGTGTTTTCAAGCTGTTTTATGTGTAAACAGAGAGCTAATATGATCATTTAGTTTAAAGTTGCTTAATATTTAAGGTTGTGGCTTGTGTCTGTAAAAAAAAATGAATGGGGGCTGCCTTGATATAATACAATAATACAAATCTCTGTATGAGACTTGTACACAGCTATCAAGCAAACCATTGATTGGGTAATGTCATCTATCATCTGCCATTCTTAAGCGCTTATCTAACCACTGGAGATGGTCCCAATTCAAACTGGGTAAGAGAACATCATCATCAGAGAGGGAGTACAGCTGTACAGCCCTCACATGCACCCATACCTTCAATTTAGAATTGCCTGTTAACGTAACAAGTGTGTCATTGTACTCTGGGAAAACATGTAAACTCTGCAGGAAGGTCCAAGCTGGGCAAAGGTGCGAACCCAGAACCTCCCTGCAGTGTCTAACAGAACAAAACATAAACTATCTTAGTCACTGAACTGCTACCTCGCCACAACACAGAATCATCCCAGACAAATGTATGATCATAAATTGAAGTCAGTGATGATAATGATATTAAAATGTTATTAAAATGTTATATTAAAATAAATTTACTTTATTTAGGTCAGCTGCTGAACTGTAATTATAAAGCAGTTTGAGCTGCAAACTGATAATATTGGCAAATTCATAATGAGATAAAATATTGACAATAACTAGCTGAATGTTGCTTTTAAACACTGTCTGACTTACATGCCACATGGATAGAGATGTATTTAGGCGTGGAAGTATTCACTTTGTTTACAGCTTGGCAGTAATATTCTCCAGAATCAGTGGGCTGTATGGAGATAAAGGAGAGCTGTGGTTCTACAACGAGAGGTGTTTGGCTATTCTCCTTGTACCAGGTGTAGTTAGCTGCTGGGTTAGCATCACTGCTACAGGTCAGATTCACTAAATTGCCCTCCTGGATTTCACCAGAGGGACTGAACAACACAGAGAGAGACTTTGGAGCATCTGAGGGAGAAAAAAAGAGAGGTTAGTATTAGTTCCTGCAAAGACTGAGTTATTCACTAAATCAACTCCATGACTGCTCAACAAGCTGCTCAGTGAGGAGATTTGGATGGTTATGCATAAAGGTGAGTGAAGAACTTACATATCACAACAATACAGATGGATTCAGATGTCGTCCTCCCCAGGTGGTTCTCAGCTGCACAGACATACTCTCCAGAGTCAAAGGACTGGATGGAGGTGATGGAGAGCTGCCGTTCATTAATGAGAGGTGTCTGATCACCATCCTTGTACCAGAAGTGGTTAGCTGTTGGTTTAGCATCACTGCTACAAGTGAGAGTTACTGAGCTCCCCTCACTGATTTCATTAGAAGGACTCACTGATACTGAGACAAACTTTGGGGGATCTGAGAGAAAGAAAATGATTCAATTTGTTACTATTTCAGGGAAATAATGAGGAAGTAATGCTCTCAGTGAGACAGATTTCTGGACCATCTGATGTATAAATTAGTTTCACTCACATTTCACATGAATAGAGATGGTGTCAGATGTCGTCCCCACGCTGTTGTAAGCTCTGCAGCGATACTGTCCAGACTCTGATCGCTGGATTGAGGTGAAGACAAGCTGTGTGTCTACACTTAGAGGTTTATTGTTATTCCCCTTATACCAGGTGTATTTAGCTGCTGGGTTAGCATCACTGCTACAAGTCAGAGTTACTGAATTGCCCTCCACTATCTCACCAGAGGGAGTCACTGACACATTAACAGGTTTTGGAGCATCTGAAGGAGAAGATATGAGGATGAATCAACTTCACAGTGTTTGAATCTAAATCTGTTCCTCATGCAAAAATGTTCAGGTCAACAAATGTGATTTCTGTGATGCAGATATATTCCACTGTGGATTTCAAATATGATGGCAATTAAAGGGAAATCTTATAACACGCAAAGATACATTTGTGTTGTATTGAATGCAGTATGTTGCATAACTATGACTAAAAGCTCTGTAGTTTGTTTTGTGTATGCTCAGTTTGGCAGTGAAAACATTGCTGCCTCTATGTGTTTTGCGTAGATCACTAATGACAGATCATGCCGGAAACAGAAACAAGAAAACCGATGTGAGCAAAAAGCAAAATGAGCTGGTTCCTTTTTTTTAAATTCTTATGGTAAATGTTTTGTTGCTTTCATAAAGCATAGAGACATTTGACCAGAAACCCTTCAGTAACTGAATCATTCAGATGAAATATTAATGGGTTGTACAGTAGGTTTACACAGCAATCCACTTTCAATGAATTGAATGTTTAATATTTGATGATAGAAAAACAACTCAGGAGAGATGGAATAAAGTAAACGGGTTCAAGCAAACTGTTATTAAAGTTGATTTACTCACATTTCACGTTAATAAAGATGGACTGAGATGCACTCCTCCCCAGCTCATTCTCAGCTGTGCAGTAATATTCTCCAGAGTCAGAGGGCTGGATAGACGAAAAGTCGAAGACCGTTCCTTCACTGATACGTGTTTGGATGTTTCCCTTGTACCAGCTGTAATTAGCTGCTGGGTTAGCATTAAAGCCACAGTGTAGAGACACTGAAGTTCCTTCCTCTGCTTCAGCAGAAGGATTCACTAACACATAGTAAAGCTTTGGAGAAACTGGAGGATAAGAGAAAGTTTAAAAAGAGGGCTTTAAACATAAGGTGGTCTTTTTTTATTTTAAATCTCGACATGTTTTGTATGATTTTAGGATTTTTATAGTGACACTGTGGAGTAAACTCACACACTGCAGCAGAGCGATAACCCTCATGTCCTTTAACAGCACAGGAATAGCTGCTGTCATCACCTCCAACAGAGACTCGCAGAGATGTTTCTTCCTCTATTTTCTGTCCATTTTTGTACCAAACATATGATGGAGGATCAATTACATCACAGCTGCTGTGACACTGCAGCTCTGTGTGGCTTAACAATCTTCTCACCTTCACCTGCAAGTCTGGATTTGTAAGGAAGAAACAAATAATCCTCATTTTAAACTAAACCACCAAACAAAACAGTAGAATTTTCAATGAAAATCTTACCTGTGACAGTCAAAGTGACTCCAGGTGAACCAGTATAACTTCCATCAGGCTGATTTGTTACGAATCTGAACTTGTACTCAGCTGAGTCTCTCTCTCTCAGGTCTGTGATCCTCAGAGTGCAGTCGTTCTCATGAAAGCGGTACTCCGCTCGGTGCGAGTACGGCGCGTATGTTTTCAGATCCAACGGTTCATCCTTGTTTTTTATAAACCAAAGTTTTTTTTGAACTGCAGTATTCATATTGTGTCTTGTAGAAGGGTAACTGTAGCTGCAGCCTATGTCCACTGTTGATTTTTTTAATGCGCAGATGTGAGTGGAAGTGTAAGTCACTGACCAACCATTCTGACCCAGTACCGCTGTAACACAGAGCACATCAGACACTACAGACACAATCACAGTGACATTAATAATGGAAACGTTTGTACGAAGTGTCTTTAAAATGAAATGCAAGTCATTGAGACAAAGCTTTCTCTATATGAAATTTAATATTTTATTATGCACTTTGACTGCCATGTTATTATTTATGTTCAACACTTTAATAATTAAGTTTTATATTGATGTACACACAACTGTGTGCTTTTCTGTAGTTTTGTATATATTCATAATTGTTTGTTATTTCTCCCTGCTGTCTTACTATTTATATTTTATTCATGCACAGTTGCCATGACAATAAAGGACTATTCTATTTTATTCTGTTCTATTCTAACAAAGAAAAGGTGTTGACTAAGAAAGGCATCTGTAATTTTAACCTAAATTCAGATTTAATGTGCATCTTAATTATTGTTAGTGTGTTAAAATGCTCGTGTTTCAAACAGTTTACTGTGCAATGAGACTGATGATAAGTTTCATAGTAAACTTTATAAAATGCAGAACAGAAGTGCTGCTGCGTTTGCAGATCTCTGAGAGCTGCTTTACTAGAAACCAAAAGGAGAATAGAAATTGAAGAAATTGAAGTGAAGATGTTTGGTTCCTGTTTTGTTTTAGTATAGAGACGCCGTAACTAAATACTTCAAATATACTACTATCAGACCCACTTAGAGTTATTTCAAACAGCAATGCAGTTTTTATGCAGTCATACACAACAGAGACATGTCGAGATAAAAACATCCTGAGATGCTGATGGTGGGAACATTTTAATAATCTGTGGAAATGTCATTATAAACACACTATAACTTTTAATATCATATTATAACTTTAAAACAAATGTCACTCTTTTAGCTTCCTTCATTGTAAAAGTTAGTTATTCAGTACCCGATGCAGTGAGAAGCAGTACAAATACAAATTCAATCCTTGCTGCTGCAGTTGCACTCATGGCTGCTCCTCTCTTCTGTCTGCGTGACAGAAAATTGTATCAGCAAAGAGTTTAAATATTGTATTTTCCAGTCTGCAAAAACACAATAAAAATAAAGATATAAAATAGTAACTTCTACTTACCATAGAAAAAGATGTTGTCTTTAAAAATCATGTCCCTGTTGGGAAGCACAAGACCGAAAAGTAAAACTGTCACACTTCCTTCTTTTTCATGTGATTTTTTCAGCATGAAGCATGAATAAGGATGAAGCCATTACATCTGGGACTGAATGCTGTTGTTTTCAAAACCACATACAGCCCTCTAAATGTGTTATATTAAAGCCTGAGGGACTAATTTTGTGGTGTTTTAATACCAAAAGTAGCACAAGAAGTATGGGGGTGTGCTCATGCATCTAATGGCTAGCTTAATCACATGTGCTCCACCCCCTTGTGTCATAGGTCGAATGTAATCATTGAGACACGCCTCCGGTCCCTCTGTTCCCCCACCTTTTTCCAACAGTGTCAGCACCATTTTTAATTTTTTGATTCGCATCATACTGTTTATGAAGAAGAAAGATAACTGTGGAGGAGCACTAAAGGTGTAGGTGCTAAAGCTGATAAATCCATCCATTTTCCTCTAGTTATCTGAGGTCGGCATGTGGGGTCAGCAGCCTCAGCAGAGAAACCCAGGCCTCCTTCTCCCCAGACACCTCCTCCAGCTTATCAGCCGGAGGCCACCACCTGATGAAGCCAGCAGTAACACATATCTACACAAGGCAGAGATGAGATTCTGAGGTTCCACCACTTTCTACACCTGTAAACTCTGCTCATAAAAATGATGAACAAAGGGCCACAATGGCACTACTAACCAAAGGTGTTTTTGTTATTAATTGGGGGAAATGGCAAGATGAAAAAATATGGTCACAGCAGCAGTTCATCGATGGAGTTGCTGGTACCTGGCTTTTTAAAATTTCTGATGCTATTATTTTAATAAAAGTTTGCAGTCACCTAGGATTTGTTCAAATTTTACTTTTTTTAAATTTTGATGTAAATTATTTAATTAATAGAGGTGTGCAAACACTCTAAAGAGAGGAAAGAAGAAGACAGAGAAACAACAAAATAACAGTAAACACAAAGGCAAGCAAAGAGCCACAGAAATGCATGAGAAGGGAAAGTGAGGATGAATGAGGGATGGTCACTGTGTCAGCAACAACAGCATGACCCCTGAAAATGCACCAGGTCTGTGGTGCATTCTCATGTCCGAGATATTGCAACCCCCGCACTATTTTTTCAGTTAAAGAAGACCAGAAGTGTTTCATAGTCAAGGTGTATAATCTGCACCGGGTCCTTTATTTTGAAAATCAGCTGGTCTGACTGGGCCCTCCAGTCACATTTGGTACAATTAAGGATGAACTATAACTAAATTATGACTTACTTATCAGCCTTTCTCTTGACTTAACTATTAAATTTGAACTGGTTTGCTAGAGGAGCCCATGTTTACATACAATATTGGAATAATGTGGTGCTATGAGGTCTTTTAAAAAGATATGGGGTCTGATCATTCAGGATATAGAATTTATAGAATCACAATTTTGAATCCAAGAAAGAAAGAAATACAGGAAGCCAAAGATGAGATGCTAATATAGGTGGTCTAGTAACTGTAGTACTCTAGTTTGAAATGTTTTGGATCAGCTTAATGTTTTCAGAAGAGCTGATAACAAGCAAGCCTAGAATTTTATCCAAAAATGAGACAGGATGTTCTGAACTTCTGAACGTATGGTGCAGGGGAAAGAAGCATCTCCTATTATATTTCTAATTCAAAGCATCAAATCCTCATCCTTTATTTTGTTTTTGTTAATCTATTAATACTTTACTTGTATGTGTCTGTTCTTGTATTTTTATGGAGATGAAATAATTTTAAATCAACTGTATTATAAATAATAGGATGTGTTTTAAAATGATTGTCAGGTGCTGTGTGGTGAATGAATGCAGGATGTGGTAGATGAAGGTTGAACATACTTTAACCTTCAGTGTTTATTCCAAGAAAAGAACAAGTACAGGTAGTCCAGAAACAGGCAACAAGAAATCCATAAGGCACGAGGAAGCACAGGGGAAAAATTTGGAACAGCAGAGCTAGTGGGACAACTCAACAGAGGGTGAAGGGAAACAAAATCAATAAATACACAAGGTAATGCAGGAAGAGTAAACATGGGGGGAACAAAGCTGAACCTAATACCATAAAAACAGACATGGAGAGTAAACTGAAAACTAAACACACAGGTCACCAAAACTGAACAACAAATAACCAAACAAAGGGAACACAGCTGATGCAGACTTGATGCAAAAGGGCATAACACAATCTGAGTATACACACTCATGACTAACCTTGAGCTGCAGTGACTATATTTTAAAGTCTGTGCACACCTGGTGAACTGCAGCGTGGCAGACTCATCTAACCCACAAATGATCATTATTAAAATACTTTCCATCCTCCCAAGCTGTGGTGGGACATGTGGAACATTGACTTTGTCACTGATATTAAGTTATTTTTTCAAGAAAGTGGCACATGCACTGAATAGTCAAACTACTCCAACAATGACTCACATGAATGAGATATGTGTTGTGTTTCAGCTGGATTGCACAGCATTTGGAAGACCTGCATGTGAGAACATTTTCAATAACATAACAACATTACCATTAACTCACTGGAATAAGGCTATTATTTAATGCGTAATTTATAACATTTATTTCAGTTCTGTTTATCTGTTTATATTTCCCATTTTATTTCTTGACCTCAGTCCTTTTGTCCCTCCCATCCAAGACATGAGGAGATCACTGTATTCTGCTCACTTATATGCTTTTACCCACAGTCACACACTGACAATATGATAACACAGAGATGATTGGATAATCAAGTATTACTCGGATATAAGTCCTTTTTTGTTTATTTGTTTTCCTTTAATGACAGTAAAAAAATGACAGTGACAGTCAGAGGCAGCGGGTTAGGTTTTACATGTACATTTACACTAAAGTTCAGCAAAATGACAGATGAATCCCTTTACTGTGGTTTTACATGACAAAGAAAAAAAAGGTGATATTCGCTAATTCTAAACTAACAACATTTTGCTTCAATGTAATCACAGAAGGAACTCCGTAAAGGTCTTCCTTATATGAATATCTGCACTTCAGAATACAAAACATAAAGAAGGGTGACTCGATTCAGTTTTATGTTTGATTAATTGGTTTCTTTGTATTAATTTGAATTATGATGTCAGTAATGTATTTGCAGAGCACAAAGAGAGCTTTAAACACAACCTATGGGTTAAAGGAAATGTAAATACAAAAACACCTAAAACAATAATTTGTTTTCCAATTATTAGATAATTGCAATAATCCAGAGAAATGGAATGAAAAAGCAAAAATCAATAGGTTATATCTGATCAATATTCCAGGAGAAGTAGTGATTCTTATCAATTGTGGACAGACGAATGGACAAGATGAACTAATAAGAATGAAATATATAACAATATATTTTTAATGTGCAATTGAGCAGAAAAGCAGTTCAGATAATGTGTTAGCACAAATAAAAATAACAGATACAATGATAATTGTATATATGATAAGAATGTGGTGAGATTCGAGTGTATGTAATAAGTTTCTGTATATATTTTGACACCTCACGTGTTAATTAAGTAAACATGAAGCATTTTTCTCTCAACCTGATTCTCTCATGTTTCACATCAATAGAAACGTGTTTAGGTGTTGACGGCACAAATTTGTTCTCAGCTACACAGTCATGCTCTCCAGAATCAGCAGACCAGGTTAGCATCACTGCCACAGGTCAGAGTCACTGAAATGTTCTCCTGGGTTTACCAGACAGATTTACTCACGCTGAGGGAGACTTTGGAGCATCTGGGGGGAAACACAGGAAGGTAATTGTAGTTTTTGAACAAAATCAAACATCTTTGTAAGTGTAAATGACAGGATGGATGTTGTTAGTCTACTCTAGGACTCAAAGTACTTTACACAGCATGACTCTTTCACGCATTCACACAAACACTTTTTTCTATGCACATATTCACACCCTGATGGATGAATCAGGGAGCAAATTGGCATTGGTATCTTGCCCAAGGATATTTGCCATGCAGACTGGAGCAGCAAGGGATTGAATCACCAACCTGAGCTACAGCCACTCCAGCAGGATTTAGCAGGAATACTGATGTCCACAGAGACATTATGACTGACCAGTCTGATCAAATTATAGTTTCTTAGTGAACATGAATGCCAGTTCAAACTTTCCACTTTACTTGCCTCTTTTCTGTAGCAGTAAAAGAAAAGTTTGCACTTCATCTTGAAACCATGGACAGATATGTTGGAGAGTTGGTTCAATAATTTCTTATTGGAAAAAACAGTAAGCTTTACTGCATTTTTGGGTGGTTTGAGCCTACCCCAGCTATGATGACATGTCAAAGAATAACAATAATGGATTGCATTTATATAGCACTTTTAGGTGGGTGAAGTGTCTTGGCCAAGGACACAACGACCGAGACTGTCCGAGCCGGGGCTCAAACTGCCAATCTTCCGATTACAAGACAAACTGCCAACTCTTGAGCCACGATCGCTCCATGGTGGCGCGATCGTGCCAGAATCCCAAAGAATTCCTCACTAGTCGCTCACAGGACAAATGCAGACTCACATTTTAAACACAATTAGTCAGAAGTCTTTGCAAATGATGGGGAATTGACAAAATGTATCAACTAGAGGTATACGTTTGTTGAACTACTGTGAGCAAAACCTTATTGACAATTGATACAGATGATCAAAACTCAAATGAAAGTCTCTAAAGAGAGATAAAATCGATCAGTGAGAAGAAAAATTGTTGAATCTGAGAAAAATGAAATTATTTCCACTCACATTTCACATCGATAGAAGTATATTCAGATGTCTTCCTTCCCAATGTATTTCCAGCTATACAGTAATACTGTCCAGAGTCAGAGGGCTCGATGGATCTGAAGGCAAGCTCGGGTTCTTTACTGAGAGGTGTTCTTCCATTTGTCTTGTACCAGACATACGTAGCTGCTGGGTTAGCATCACTGCTGCAGGTCAGAGTCACTGATCCGCCCTCCTTGATTTCACCAGAGGGACGCACTGACACAGAGGGAGGCTTTGGAGCATCTGGAGGAGGAAACAAAGGGAAATAAATACATGGAATTATTTCCTTCAAAGGCTGAAAAATTGACCAAATCAAAAACTTCAATGAATCTAATGCAGGGGCTTCTCAGTGAGTAGATGGCTTTAGTAGAGAGATGTTCTCAGCCACATTATCACTTTATGATCAGATCTAGACAAACGACACTATTTAAACAACCCCATTTCCTAAAAGAAACTGGCCAGATGTTTACCAA